ATTTAAAGAATCCGTGAAATCTCAGCAAAACGGGTTGCTTAAATGAAGGCATTTTGTAGGTAATAACTTTACAGGAAAAGCAATATCACCACATCTAAGGTTTGAATTTCTTTTAGAAAATCATGATGCAGCTCTGATACTACAAATACACTCCATCCCTTTTTCATTTGGGGGTTTTATAGCAAGAGTGACAATGTTAAAATGATCATCATCCTTTTTTCAGGGAATCCAGTAACTCCTTTCCAGAGATATGATTACAACCCAGCTTCAAAGATGCAGCAAAATAATAAGCATTTAGGCTTTTTAGCATTTAGGCTGTTTCTGTTCATGGATACAATGGTGATTGTTATCCTTCCCATAAGTTACCTGAGTATCAAGGCTGATGATCTGGTGGGGAGGAGGAAATACAGAATTTTGTTCTTTAAGTCTGTGACTAATTTTCTGTCAGTGTGACATGGACTAGCCAGAAAATTACAATATACACAAAGCTCTTCAAAGTACAGCCAAATATATCTAGCTAAACATATTTTAAACTGCTCACTTAGGTAATGTATTACACACAGACACAGACAAGCAAACACACATTAAATTAACAATTCCATGAAACAAGGAAATTGCACTCTCTTCTGGCTACTACCATAGCTCAGATGTTGGACCACAAAGACTAATAGATGGTGGCTGTATGTGTTAAAGCCAACTAGGGATTTAGCCACCCAACTCTTGATTTTCAAGCCTAAATTCTTTTGGCTTTGTAAATCTCAACCAGTGTATTTCGTAACAGCCAAGATGCAGTACTATAGGGAAAGTGAACAAACCGAGCTCTCAGATTTGGGGGGCTATTTAGCCTATAATCCTTGGTGTTACACTGAGCTGTACTTCCCAAAATACAGCAGCAACTTTAGTGACTTAAATAGGTTACTGGGCTGTTAAACTGCATACATTTGGTATTAATGCCCACACTTCATTAATTTCTTCAGATTTCTATGATAAAAGAAGCTCCCTTGACAAAACCAAGACATGTCATAAAAGCATTAGTTCCTTCTCGACTCCCACTTTTAATTCTGTATCTCCACATGCTCTAGATATAGCAAAGGCGAATTCCAAGGTGAAGGGGGTGATGCACTTTGGCATTGTGTATTTTGTCTCCTCCTCAAAAAACAGCCTCTCAGCACCATGGCTAACATCTTCCTCAGTCCCCTGGAACACCAATTTCTCCAATGCTTCCTACAGAAGGGACCAGATGCTCTTGTAATTGTACCAGAATGCAATTCTTTTATATCTATTGTAGGGGCAGTGACAGAGAGACCATCTATTTAATGGAAGTCAATGTATTATTTTAAGACACAAGCCTGATTCCATTTATTCTAAGGCCTCCTTTATAGGCTCTGACATTGTCAAGGGGCCATAATATAAGTGAGAAACAGGTTCTATGTACTCACTATATAGTAGTTAGTATAGGAAGGAGTGGGAAAGATTTCTCTTTTGGTCTTGACATAATGGATGTTTAAAAAGCTATGATTCAAAGAGGTTTGAAACACCTAAGCCTCAGCTGCATCTGAAAAAGCCATATTCTAAGGTGACCTGATGCCTCAGGTGCTGACAGATGGGTCTTTATGAGTTTGGTTAAAGAAACCATGAAACACCTGACCAAAAAAAAAAACTTGAAAGAATGTGGTATCATAAAAATGCTAAAGGGAATCAGATACTTAGTCTAACGCACCATTCTGGGATCCTAGGAGTTTGGGGATCCACAGGTCTCCAAAGGCAGATAAAGAAACCATGCCCTGACACAAGCCTTTTCAGGAACACATTGTTATATATACTCTATGTATTAATGGAGTGGAAAAGAGATGAGAGTTCCAAGCTCTTAACTGGTCTCTAAAAATTCAGGTCTATATGACTGAAAGGGGCCTGTTTTCAAGAGATATGTCAGATGGCATGGACTTTTACAACCACCCATCTATAGAGACCTTGATACAAGATGATGAAAATCTCATACTAGGAGATGATCTGGTGAGATTCTCATTATTTTGGACTAAAATTACTACTTTTGAACTTGAAGAAAAACTTCAGCTCTAGCTCATTCTTGTAACCCAGTACTACCATAGCTTAACCTGGATTCAAACACAGCTTTTCTTGTTCACTTTTTACTTCTGCCAAATTTAAGAATCACATGCTATTGCCCTGGCTCTTTAGTATTACTACCAATAGAAAAAGTATATAAATGTGAATGATATTTAAAATCGCTCACAACTGTTAGCAAAACCTGAGAACTGGGTGGATGTAGCAATAGAAATTGTCAGTTTTTTCTTGTTAACACAAACCATTACAACATGGCATACAAAATTAACATGCAACAAGAGCTAGTTGGTTGAGAAAACAATGCCACTATTGTAGATGCTCATAATAATAGCATTCCCTGCACATTTTCTCATGGTCATTGCTATTATTCTCACACAAGCTCATTACACTCAGGTGCATTCAGATTCTAAATTTCATTTACATGAATGCAACAGAAGCATTTGTAGTGGCCAGACATAACAGGACTCCCAACATACCTCATACACCTCTGACAAAATCCTGCCTGTAACACCAGCTATCTGAAAACAGAGCTAAGACTAACAAATACATGTAATGCCTCCACAATCAAACTGCTAATGAACCTGCTTTATATTCTATTCTACAGAATTATTTTACTTCAAGGATAAGTTCAACTTACACATAGCTATGAAACCATCCAGTTCAACTCGCACGTAGTTATGAAAAGTTCATTAATCAGACATAACAGTCACAATCCCTTAGACTCGGAACCAGAGTTACAGGTCAAGTTCTAGCTTTGGTAGTGTTTTCCCATGTCTCAGTATCTCCACTTGTAACACAGAGATAACACAGATCTCTCTGTCTCAGTACGGGTAAGGAGAATATGCAATTTGGAAGCGAGTAGGGATGTTTGGGATCGGTTTTAAATCCTAAATGATTGTCTGGCTCATTGTTTGTTTTACAAACCCAAAATAGACAGCAGATGCTTTTGCAATTCCAGGGATGTGATGGGACTAGGGGACTGCAGAGATAGTTGTCTTTCACAATATTGTTGACAAAGCTACAAAGTGAAATACAAACCAGCTCAACCATCAGTCATAACTTATGAGTGACAGATCAACATTTCACTGGACAGAACAGGATCAATAATCTAATCTGAGAAGCAGTTAAAACCACAAAGCAGCACATAAAGTAGGAGTTTGATTCTCACAAAATAAAGCAGAGACACCCAGGAACATATTGAAAAGAACTGGTAAGATATTATAAGAGCCCATCAGACCCCCTCAATTATTGCAGTACCCACCAGACAAAACAATCTAATTCTCAGTTCTTGTCCAAGGCATAAGTGTTGAAACATATAGTGCACCCTTTGCTCAGCATGGCACATTACAGCACACACAAATCTCTCATTTCCCACACCAGCCATTAATGCAGCTGTTTCACTAATACTGAATTTGAAATGAGGACTTCCACTTATGAAAAGTCCCCACAGATCAGAAATATTTATGATGGCATTTATGCTCAGGGCTTCATTTTGCCTCGTAAAAGCAAGGGTTTATTCAACCTTCTAACTCCCTTGAAAGAACAAGTAAATTCAAAATTAGCTAAATGTGGTTTTAAATGGCCAAGCACTGAGAGAGATTCTTCCTTCCCACTGGACAGAGGAAGAAGTTAAATGATTTCATGTTTTTATGATGCTAAACACAACCACAGTGGTTTTTTTGGTTTGTTGTTGGGTTGGGTTTTGTTGTTGTTGTTTTGTTTTGCTTTTGGGGGGGGGGGGGGGAGGGGGGGAGGAAGGGGGTACAAACTTCAAACACCATTATAGTTTTCAAAAAGCAGCTTTTCCTCTAAAAGCTAAGGCTCCAAATATCCTGCCATGCATTCTTTCCTGAAGACAACCACAAACTAACAAACAAACAAACAAACAAACAAACTTACTCAGTTGAGATGCTGAACTTAGGATCTTATTGCAATTCTTGTTAACACAGGGGTGTCAAAATGTGGCTGGATCTGGCCTGTGGAACCCTACCATCTGGCCCATGGTGCTGCCTGTTAATCTCAGACCAACTCCACACCCTGGATGCAGGATGTGGAGCTGGAGTGTGCACCTTTTGTGGCACCTCTGTTAGAGACATCCCTGCATGCTGCAGCTGCATAGGACTGGTCTGTGGGCCTCATCTAGCCCACAGACCAGCTCCATGCCCCTCATCTGGCCTGTAGGGCTTGATGAATTTGGTACCAAGCATTCCAACAGAAAAGAAGTTTAAGAAACAAAGAAAGACCCCTCCCACCACCACCATTTTTACCTGTTCCAAAATTCCCAAGGTAGCCAAGGTCAAAATCCTACTTCTCAATAAATTGGATGACTCGCATTTTATTTATAACAAATAGATAAAGCCTATGAGTTATACATAAATAAAAAATATAAATAAAAAAAATTTTGCAGTCCTTACCACTGGCAAAATGGAATTTTCTGGATATAAACCAAGTTAGTGCCATTTTTCCGAATGCAAACTATGACAAGCACTATGACCACTCATCCATCCCTCAGGTTCTTGAGTGTGAAGTCTACTATTCCATGCAGGAAGAGCACACACCAACTGCTGAAACTTCCTTAGCCTGACGAAGGGTTTTTGAACCCGAAAGCTTGCTTAATAACTATTCTCCAACTATTTGGGTTGGTCTAATAAAAGATATCAAATTCACCCAAGGAACCTTGTCTGCCTTAGTCTACTATTCTGCATGTTTACATTTTGAAGTGTAGTCTGTGGTAAAATACTAAATTTTAATTTCTCTCAGATACCTGATGTGGACAGATCTTGATCTTTCCCCAACCTTAATCTACTGTGGCTCTGGAATGCTTTAGAAAAAAGTGAAGCACTGCAAAGTATCAAATTCTGTGCTAACTTAGTAAAGAAAAAGTCTCCAGGTTGAATGTTATATTTCTAATCACTTACCTTCTTCTCCTCTGTTGTATCACCACTAACATAGGACAGCTTTCGGCGGACGTAAAAGAGCATATCATCTTGCCTGGGGGCCAGTTTTTCCATAAAATAAGTAGAAAACATCCAAGTCCAAAACACAATGCGGTCATCTTTGAAAAATCCTAAAAGGGAGCAAATAGAAAATTAAGACTTGTGGAAGCCATCAAGCTGCATTTGCATATTCTTAGTACTGTATGCAACAACGGTTCTGAATGTTGTGGGGCAAACTTGCCCTTGGTGAAGTGTTAGTTATGTGCCATAAAATAATATAGCCCAACTCATGTAGCATAACTTGTCATTCACAGTATATTTAAGGCCAGATCCTCAGCTGGTGTAAGTTACCCTAGTTCCCATGATAACAGAGCTGTACTGCCTCACCACAGCCAAAGATCTGTCCTTTAACATTTATCTCTATTTGTTCAGCTCCTCAGGCTAGGTAATGGAAAAGACTGAGCCAAGGCACCAAGCTAGAAGACATTAGAGAAGTGAGGGAGCTAATTTCAATGTGGGTAACGCCATCATTTGCTGGAATTAATTACTTAAATCTATCAACTAGCAATAAGCTCACTACTGGCAGTCTGGGGAGCACTGCAGAAAGTGAATAATTGTGTTGTCTTTCTTTGGTCAAATCACATGACTAAGAATGTATCATCTCGAAAGGTCCACCTCGGTGCATCCTGTATTTGATAAGGAACCAGTCTGAACCTTTAATGGGAACATAACCTACCTTTCCAAAATTCATAAAAGCTTAAAATCAATTTGAGAAACAAGTCAGAGACAGGAGAAAAAAAGAAGCTGGGATAATAAAACCTAGCTGAAGGTAGAAACAAGAACTGTGCATGCTACCAGCAGCAATGTAAGTCTCCATTTCTCAGCTCTCAAGGCGAGTTTAAATTTTGTGAAACTCTCTACATCAGGCGTGGACAATTATTTCAGCTGGATGGGTGCTTAATGTATTTTGGTGAGGTGTCAAGGACTGCAAGGGTAGCCCCACCCATTAACAGGCGTCTCACCCCCCTGGTCACCCTACCCCCTAACCCCTGGCCTTTGCCACAGGAAGTCCTTCCCCTTGTCCCCTGAAGTACTCCTTTTGGTGGAAGAAAGGGAAGTGCCCACATTGGAACCAGAAAACAACCAAATCATATATTAAAAGTCAAACATCTACTACATGCAGTCCTTGGACTTACAACACAATTGGTTCCTGAAAACCGAGTCTTACGTTGAAATGTTGTAACTTGGAACCAGTTTTCCCGTAGGAAACAATGTTATAAATGGGGGATTGGCTCCTGAACCAAGGCCCAATACCCTATTTTCACCAAAACTAACCCAGAATTTTGCATTCAATCAATTATAGATGAGCAATAAGCTACATTAATGTATTTATATTGTAAATAGCAATCATAGTGATTTGGAAGGACTTCTTTGAGGTGACTTTGCTGGACTTTCTGAAGGGATCTTGGCTGGAGTCTTCTCAGGAGTCTTGGCTGCAGGTTTTTCTGGAGTCTTGTCTGCTTTCTTAAAGAAAGTGTCCAAGGAAGTTTGGACAGACATTCTCCAGGGAGATGGGCAACGCAGCAAAACTTATTCACTGGCATGACATCAGATCAAGCATCATAAAGTCAAAACTGATGCCAGAAAGTCAAAACAGTGTGTGAATTTATAAAAGTTGTGTGAAATGTTATAACTCAAAATGTAAGTAGAGGACTGCCTGTATAACATACTGTAATTTTATTTCAAAAGATATTTTTGTCATGATTTGTGTTTGTATAAAGTATATGGAGGTGATCGCATAAGAGCTCAAAAATAAAGCCTTACTCTTGTATATTGTGTGTGGGGTGTGGCTGGAGGGGTGTGTGTGTGGGGGGAGGTTCTGAGGCAGTGTGGCTGTGTGTGGCAGGGGGGGTGTATATGTGGGGGCAGGGTATGGGGACCCCCACGGCACACAGCTCCCACTGCTGGGAGCAGCAGAGGTGGCAGGGCCTCAGGGTGCTTGGGGCCAGCTCAGGTGTTGCCGCCTGGCAGTGCATGGCTCCAGCCAGTTCCAAGAACTGCATATGGCAGCAAGGAGTGGAGCCAGGCCAGCCCACCTCTATCATGTGAGGCTCCCCATGGTACATGTGCAGCTCCCAGCACTCATGCACCACCAGGGCAGAAGCTCCATGCAATGAAGCCAGCTGCCTCTCCTCCTCCCTGCTGCCATGTCCAGGTCCCAGGACTCCACCAGAAGTGGAGGGAAGCCTCACTTCCTGCTTTCTGGAGGAGTCCCAGAAACTGCACATGGCAGCAGGGAACGAGGAAGGCAGCTGGCTCCATCACGCAGGGATTTCCCCCTGTGGTGCACGAGTGCCCAAAGTTGCATGCAAGTCATAGGAAGCCCTGTGTGATGGACGTGGGCTGGCCTGGCTCCACTTCTTGCTGCCACATGCAGCTCCCAGAACTGGCTAGAGCCATGTGCCACCAGCAGTGCCTGTCCGAGCCAAAAGCAGCCTGAAGACTCACTGCCTGCTACTGCTGCCCTTGGGGCAGTGGCCGTGTGCCATGGGGGTAGTGTGTGGAAGGGGGCACTCCCCCACCCTCCCTCACACCCCACAAACCCACAACCTGCCCACCCAAGCTCCATGCTCTCACTGCTCCCCTGGCCAGCTGCCCAATGCTGCTCCCCTTCCCTGCCCCTGCCACTTCCCTATCTGGTGCCCACAGTAAGCACTACAGCAGAGAAAGCAGCAGGAGCTGCTGGAGGCCAGGGAAGCCAAGCAAGTCCCCCAGTGGCTGCAGCAGTGACAGCAGTGGCCCTGCCCAGAAGCTATACATGCTGGCTGGGCCAGGCCCTTCCATGCACAAGGGTGGGAAAGAGATGCGCAGGCTCAGCAGGGTACAATCAATTAGTGGGCACCCACAGACTGGATGAAATTGCCTGGAGGGCTGGATCCAGCCTGTGGGCCATATTTTGCCCACCCCTGCTCTACATAGTTCAATTCAAATCAGACAGCAGTAGCCTTTGCAGGGCACCCTCTCCAGCCCCACCAGAACTATGCAGTAAGAGTCTTTGTGACCCAAGACTTGGCTGAACAGAGACAGAAACAGATGCTGCATCCTCTTGGATGGTGAAAGATGAAAGTGTGGCAGTTGGGAGAATCGTGGTTTCATATTACTGTCCATTTCTATAATTGTGTGGCCACCATCCAGCTTTCATAATCCTCTGGGATGAAAGACACTATACATGCTTTATTGTGCAAAACCAAAAGCTTGACGTGTGTGTGGGATGGCGTGGGAGGAGGGGGACTTAGGGGAATGGGGCCTTAGAGGGAAAGAAGGGAGAGGGAATAAAAGAGTATGGTTCACTTCCCCAATAGTAGTATCTTAAGACAAGACAAGACAGCGTTTCCCAACCGTTTTCTTCCCACGGCACGCTTAACTAAATAAAAAAGCACTGAGGCACACTGGATGCGGAGGGGTGGGGGGCGTGGCACGCAGCCAGCCAGACGCTGATGGGGAGGGGTGGCGCACAGCCAGCCAGCCAGTATTTTGGGCTGGAGCCATACCCCCTGCCTGGCTGGAGCCACGCTCCCTGTCTGTGTCTGCAGCAGCAGGCAGCAGGGGTGGGGGTGTGGCTGTAGCCCAAAATGCCGCAGCACACCTGGATGTGCCTGAAGGCACACCACTGTGCCTTGGCACACCAGTTGGGCAATGCTGAGCTAAGACGCACTGATTTATATGACGCAGCATTCTTATCCATCGTAAAGTGAGGCATATTTATAACTGAATTAAGTTTTGGAGGAGTTTTTGGTTAACTGCAAAGAAAGCCAACATTTCCTGTAACAGGTGATTTTTTCTTGGAGTGCTTATCACCAATGCTTCATAAAATGGTATCAATCAGTCTTTAATCCACAAGTGCAATTCACTACATTTTCCTACCTCGTATACATGCATTTCATATATACAGGGCCAAACTTCCTTCCAGGCTTAATAATACAGAAGACCTAAAATTAGGTCTTTAATAGGAGAAAATGGATAATTCAAGAGTGCTTAGATTTTATTTCAAACTAAGTCCAAGAGTCATACTTCAAACAAAATGAAATCCACTGTAGGACCATGCAGAAAATGCATTAAACATCATCAATAAGAATGGCATTTGAGTTTATACCTACTATCTATTAAATTTGAACATTTTTATTAATGAAAAAGTCTGAGAAAGAAGCTGGAAATGTTTGGTGTAGGCTAATTCTGGGTATATTCCAGCACATTTTAAATTCTGGGAAAAACCTATAATTGTTTTATTCATTGCAGTAATTGCATCAACTACTCAAGTGAGTAAGGTAACAAGACCTGGCCTTAAACAAAATTTATTGAGCATTTAGTAACAAGTAGAAAAAAAAAAAATGTACATGCTCACATTACGATTCATTAAATGTCCCCCAGGAACCTGAACTTATTAAAATACCCTTGCTTTTGAGTGCTTTATTTCAAACTTAATACCATGTACAATATTAGAGGGGCTAGGAGGCAGGGGAAGGATTTAGATTCTCTAGCATTTAGGGTAAGAAGGATAAAAAAAATGAAGTAATCTTTTAAGTTATTAACATTAGAAATTATTTAGACTTTCCTCTAATTTAGTTTTCCTTCACTGAAGAAGTTTGTCAAATACATTTCCAGTTTTAGCCAACAATTTTTACAATTACAAAGATTTCAAACTCAAAAATATAGAGAAGTGTACATAGGAGAAGTGCAGTAGATGGATTGATGCCCCACCCTCCAGTGTGGGCTAAAAACACCCCGGACCAAACTCCCTGTGCTTCCTTCCCCCTCCCATTTTGAAAACAGCACACAGACTGAGAGGTAGCACAGACAGAAGTTACTGAAGCCACTCTGTTTTGGAGCATCTACAGCTGAACCCTTATACAATGAGGGTTCTGATTTTTGTGGGATTGGGCCCTTTTAAAGTGCCCTACAGCCATTACTTCTGTTTGGTCATGGCCATACAGTGTTTTCAAGGGACAGATCAGGAGAAAATTGTCACTTCTGTCTGCACCCTAAGTGGCATAAGATCTGGTGCACTGTGTGTCTTTTGTCCTAATGTTATTCTATACAGTTCTGGACATGAGCCAGTGCACAATACTGTTAT